TCACCCTCTGAAAAACGAGAGGGTGTGAAAAATGACAGGGTAGGTCGGTGCAGCACAGCACGGGTGTGATCTGTGCCATAGAAAAGCTCTGGGAAGTCCTTGGCTGTTTTCTGCAGTAGACATGCAGCTGTGTGATGGTATCAGGGTGCTGGATTACAGCGATGTGGCTGTTTGCTTTGCTGAAGACATAATTGGGTTGAAGTCACTGTGGCTCCTCACATTCAGAGATGTAAGTTGGATCTTTTGAAGTGGATCCTCTCTGACTTTGAAAATGTACAGATAAGGGAGAGCTGCACTGATTCGTTAGTAGATGGAACTGATGTAAAATTTTAGCAGTTTTAGATTAGAGTTAAATGGCTGAAAGTGCTTTGTGACTAAAACAAATTGCTAATGCTTTTCAACTCTCTAAAACTTCTTGGCTTTGCTCTAAGATAGGGTATGTGTCATGTATGTGGGATGGGTTTCTCTTTTATGAAGACAGAACTTTTAATGAAAATAAATTGTTAGAATTCTGCAGCAGTTAGGGGGCTGAGGATGAAGAACAAAGAGGAAATTTGAGTCTTTATATGTGTCTGGTATGAGGAACCATTGAAACAAAGACTTTAACACTCCTTTAAGTCAGTATTTAAAGTTGCAAGTGTGAGGACATAGTGTATATGGTGGATGCAACAATTAGAATTTAAAAAATGATGCTCTAAAGTAGAATATGACTAATCCAATTGCTGTTGGCAAAAGAGTAGAGCTTTCTGTTTCCACATAGCAGTGCTGATACTGATTTAAGAACCTAGCTTTCTGGATTCTAATCTGAGTTTGAATTTGTGGCCCTTTTCCAAAAGAGGTAAGATACAAAGCCCAGCCTTAGATTGTGTCCTTCCCTCAAGTAAAGGTTGTTCTTCAATGCAGAAGTGTTCTGCCCTTGCTGTTGTTGCAGCTCAGCGTGAAAGGTTGTTCTTCAATGCAGAAGTGTTCTGCTCTTGCTGTTGCAGCTCAGCGTATCAGACAGTGTGTGTCTTTGCTTGGCACCAAAGTCTCGTGGAACGTCTTTGGCTTCCACATCTGTGGGGGGAAAAAAACTGTTATCCAAAAGATACCTTGCTGAACATCTGGGTGTTATTTTTGTGCTAACGGAAAAGCGACTCAGTATCAGAAATCTGTTGGGTTCATTACTGACAGCAAAGCTCTTCAGTGCTTTCTATAAATGTGTTCTGAAGACATGCTTTGGGGTTTTTTCTTTCATTTTGCGTGACTTGTTTTACTCTGAGCTCTCATTGCTCAGTTTAGAATATGTTTATAAGGATGCTACCAGCATAAAGACTTAACATAATTAGATTACCCAGTAAGTCATCATACTTACACTAAGTACTTCTGTATACCCTTTGTCTGGGGTTACTTAGAAGAAGCATATCCCCTTTTCAGAGCTGAATAGAAACAATTCCTGTGTTTTCCTATGGCCTGGCACTTGTTTAATAAGAGACTGGTATAAGAAGAATCATTACAATAGCTTAAAACTCGACTGTACTAAATACGTACTTACTGAAGGTTGAGTCTTGAATTTGTTGCCAGGTGTTTGTATGTAAATAACATCACGTTATTTATGTGTTTCCAAGGTAAAGTGTCACTGTGCCTGCAGTAGAGTAGATGTGGGTTGGTGCAAAGAAGGGCTACAAGGCATAGACAAGAAATTAATGAGATAAATATAGTACAAAATAAGTTAGAGCAAAAGCAGCTGGAACTTAGAGTGATGATGAGCTGTGTCACTGAGGGTATAGGGTAGTTTTGGGGATAAGCTGAAAAAAACACATTGGGGTTGTGTCATGGGTTGCCATCACAAGCTGTTCCAGCTGCTCTTTTCCAGAGTTGTGTGCACTGTGTTACTTCTGTCCCAGATTGCTGAAACTAGGCATATCTGTGATTTCAGATAGCAAAAGTTGAATCTGGCAAGGCTAAATTGGGGTGGTGGTTGATGGACGGGCTCTTCTGAGTACTTGCTACTCGAGCAGTTCTTACACAGGTGATCATAGAATCATAGGGGTTGGAAGGGACCTCTGAAGATCACCAAGTCCAACCCCTCTGCTGTAGCAGGAACATGTCCAGATGGGTCTTGAAAGTCTCCAGTGAAGGGTGGTTTCTGAGAAAGTACAACCTTGAAGCCCTAGGACCCGACAGAGCTTCCTGGTACAGATGCCAGGCGGTTGCTGGGGCAGCTTAAGGGTTTCCAGCTCAGTTACTGGTTGATGTAGATATGACAGTAGTTTTATTTGTTTACTGTGAGGTTGTTTGCTAGACCGGTCAGTGAGAAGAAGTTGAAACAAGCCACAGTTTACTTTGCAGTTTGAATTGCATGTATCTGTAATAAAAATTGGGTTACTGGCCTAAATCAGGCATGATTGTGTCTAGACTTTATCTGATGCATGTTTACCTGTCAGCAATGAATGGTCTGAATTGCCCATGGAATTGGATGCAGTAATAGGTGTGTCCATTTAGTCTACTCAAAATTTTTGCAGTTATTGAAGTTAATGTTTATGCTGTATCCTTCTAATGAGCCAACAGTTCTGTGATTTTGATTTGCCATCAGTGCTGTGCTTTCCAGGTAGGATTTAAATCCATTGTATGTAAGCACCGTGGGATCATTATTATAGTATTCAGTATCTGTTTGTGTCCCTACAACCGCTGACTAATAAGTAATCAGAAGTGTTGAAATTAAGGCATTGTCTTTTCTGTGCTGTAACTGAAACATAAAGAATCTCAGGAATTGTCTGTTGTATAGCTTGAAAGAAAATGCCACCAAAAACGATTGAGGTTTTGGCAGCTGATGGATTTTTAGCTTGCATTTAAGTTCTTTTATGTTGAGAAAAAAAAACTTAGATTTTTTTCCCTAC